GCGCACTTCTGCTGTGCGTTTTACTTCACTTTTCTGTGTTGGGTCAACTAGGACCACGGGTTAAATCCTTTTTCAACCCTCTTTTGACCTAACAATTATTCATTGCCTAATTTCCTCATTGTTTCTCCTCCATATTCCCAAAAATGATCTCCAATCACTCATTTTGCCCCTTCATCCCACACCTCAAGAATCTAAGGTAACATTCTCTTTTCTATTTTTTGTGATTTGCAAAGGGTAATTTTTACCATGAAGAAGAAAAAAATTAAGTTAGGAACTTTTGAATTAATGATTTTGATAATGATGCATGTGGTTAGAAGGGATTAGCAAGTAGGATTCACCATGAAAATGCTTTAAAGTTGCTGAAATTTGGTCTTTGGGCAAGTGGGTTTGTTATGAAATCTGCAGAATTTTTGCAAAAATTCGTAGGATCGCCCGGCGATGGAAGGCAGAATCAACATCTTTGATTTTTTTCTTGTAAATTATGAAAAATTGTATTTTTTTTTATTTTTGACAAGAAGATGCTATGTTGTTTTGTGTTGGTTCATGTCTTGCGGATGACTCCAAAAAAGGCTTTCCGCTGTGAGGGAGATTGTAGGAAATAGTTTGAGTCAATTGTGCAGCTTCGACGAGCACAGGTTTTTAAGCATGGATGCGGAAGACAAATTCAACATGCTGGTGGGAAGGCAGTTTGTTTCGGAGAAAAAGTTTGCTATTTATACTCATGGTCCGTACAGGAAACTGATGCAAATTTTTATTAGAAAAAAAAAGGGATGTGCTCATCGATCCAGTTGATACGATCAGTTATGACTTGGTAAGGAAATTTTATGCAAATGCTCTTTCGGCTGAGGGGAAGCAATTTATTTTCCGAACCACGGCAAGAGGAAAAGCTTTATATTTCGATAGGAACCCAATTAATAACTTTTTGGGAAACCCTCTCCAATTGTGCTTGCATAAAATTGATGAATTCAACAAGAGTTGGGAAAGTTGAGGAATCATGACTCTATTGCCAGTGATATTTTTCTTCAAGGGAGGAGTGTGGAATTAAATACAGCGGGCATTCCTTTTTGATACAATCGGGAAGATACAACACCTGAAGCTTAGGATGTACTTATTTTGGTTCATTAAAACATCAAACCTTAACTTCATAGGTCTTCCATTCCCATTCATGTTGCTTTGCTCGTGTAGTGTATCTTAGAGGACAAGGCGGTGGATGCAACTGACATTATCTCAAAATAAATGCGACAATTTGTTTAAGGCACTAAGACAAAAGAGGTAAACTCTCATGTACCTCTTCCTTTCCCTTGTGTTGAAAATACTTACAACAGTGGTCCCTGCTCAAAAGGCTCATCAGCAGCGCAATCAGCAAAGTCGTACACAGAAGAAGGATTAGTTTGACCCAATTCCTATGACGTATGCTAAATTATTGCCTGATTTGTTACAGAAGAACTTGGTTCAGAAAAGATCACCGCCAGCTATCCTAGAAGTAATTCCTTGGTGGTATAAGGCTGATGCTTTCTTGGTTTTCACCGAGGCGCCCCTGGGCATAACATTGAGAATTGTTTTCCATTGAAGATAGAAATACAAAAGTTGATAAAAAGTGCTATCTTATCCTTCAAAGATATTAACCCATTGCTCAAACATATATGAACTTTGGAGATCTGGATTGAAGGATGCACTGGAGTTTAAGGATGATTAGCCTTCCCAGTTTACTAGAAATTTTACTGATTTCTCATTTGTAATTTTTCTTATTGATCATTGTACTATTTCCACGTAAGAACTTGTTTACATTTGAATGATTATATTAATAGAATGAATATGTTTGTCTTGAAGAAATCCATTTGTTTCACTCGTATTTATTTTCAATTTTAAATTGCTTTTTACATTATGATATTGACTCGTTACCAATTCTCTAGTCTAGGCAGAGATAGGAGGGAGGATGATGAATTTAAAACACAAAATTCCTGGTTGTATGCTTTTGAATAAAACCCTGTTGACGATGTACAAGCATTGTTTCAAATCCCCAAACACCATAGATATAAGGGAGTGAAACCCTCGCCAACCCATTTGAGCCTTGAAGTAGGGGTTTCTTTTCTATTCAGAAAAAAACCCTCATCTATAACCCGGGGTAGGGCATTGTTCAGTTAATTTGATTGAGTGTTTAAAACTCATCAGGAATGCGCATCTAATGATACAACAATGTTTATCCATCAAAAGGTTAAGGAAAGTCAAAACTACAATGGCTAACCTTCACTTATCAGGAGTGTGCGTCAACTAACGATACCATAATGAATATCTCTCGCACATCAGGAAGTCAATATATGACGATACAACAATGGTTATCCCTCATCTACCAAGAAATAGGGCAATGACAATTCTTCCGACAAGTCAAAAATGATTCAAAGTCACACAACGTGTTCAAAAGGAAAGAAAGGCTAATATAAAAATGAAAGATGAAATCAATAAGAAATGATGAAAGAAAGAGACAAAAATCCCCGCTAAGTCGAAACTTGAAAAACAAGTCGCTTAGGCAAAAGTCAAGGCATCTCGCTGGACTTCATAGTCAAATTCAAAAAGAAATTATCCAGGCAAAAGTCAGGGAAAGCCTGAAAGGAGAATAAGGAGTACAAAGAAAGACATTTACATAAGGGCATATGTTATACCCCAATTTTTTCCGCTAAGATCCCTCATCATATCATATACATCTCATGCATATCATCGATTCCATGGTTACGGGATCGAAGGGCTCTTGGCATTAGAGTTTTATCCCTATGAATTAAAGTTGCTATCTTACTCAAAGTTGATCCAACTGGTGCTCTCATCACTCTGGATATGAAACTAGGGTTTTGGATCACAAGCATCATAGACGTATTCACTATTGATATATAAGGTTGTCTTCATCATAATTTCTTCGAAAAAGTTCCTTAGGGTTTACCGTGTGCTCAAGATTTCATCATTCTTCATTGAGAATGTTCTAGAGTTGGGGTTCTATTCCTCTCACTATCTCAAGCCTTCTTTATTAATGTGCACTCAGGTCGAGAATCATGGTTTCTCCTATCTTGTTTGGAGCTTCGTATTTGATCTTCAACAGAAGTTCATCGTGCTAGGTTTTACCTTAAGGATACAAGGATCATCATCTGTTCCTTATTGTGATATCGTCATCATGTAGAGATTCCATTTATTACATACTCTATGAGTCATTTCTTTTCAAGAAGTCTAGAAGATTGAATCATGGTCTTCTTCTTGTGGTGAGACTTGCCAAATGATTAAGTGTGGCTTTGGGTTTTCAGCATAATATTTTTTTGACAAAAGATCGAGTAATACAACATGGTAGGAGTTTCAGGATTCTTTGTAATCAAGGCCTTGTTATCTCTTCAACTTCTTGATTATTTTCAAGTTGACTTGAATTTGAAGAGTGAAGTAGAGAATGGATTCATTATTGTGAAATGTTTCTCTCAAGATTGATTCAATAGAATTCATGCATATGGTTTGGTTGGAATATAGTTTACAAGTAACAAATTCAAAGTATAATCTGAATTCAAAATCTAGTCAAGTGGACCATCGAGAATTCGAATTACAAAGGTCTTTATCGTGTTTCATATAAGTATCATTTCAAGATTAAGGTTGCAAAACTAGAAAACTTGTAAAGTTGGTTTGCTCGGAATTTGGAACTTACATCTTGACTCATGAAAAGTTATGAATATGCCATGTTTCAAAACTCATCATGTCATCATGCCAAAGCTAAAAGGTAAGGTAATTGGAGAAGATCACTTGAGATGGGTGAAGTTTCCTTATAAAGGAAAAGATTTATTCAAGATGAGATTAGAAAAGACTATGTATTACAAAATCAATACTTGATCCAAGATTGCAAGATGAAGGATGATTGGATGTCTAAATTGAAGAATTGAAGTAAAATTCGAGATTCAAATTAAAAGAAAATGTCAAGTTTTTTTTTTAGAATTACTTCATTGATTGAAAGACAAATTCAAAATTCATTACAAAGTTACACCAAAAAACCGAATTCATAAAATATAAACCTATTCTATTCTTCATCAATCTCAAGCTATTTCATCTTCACTTTGTTTCATTCTTTCAACCAAGTTAAGCTTCAATAATTCAGGCCATAATCTCAACCTTGCTTCAAAGCCATTGCCCCATCAAAATCTGATTATTCCATCCCTGCACACAATTGAAAATCCAGACATTTAACACATCAAGACCAAGGCTTATGCAATAAAACCACCCTAACAGTTTCTAACCGCTCACAACTAACCCGATCCGCATACATCCAAAAGAAAAATTCAAATAACATACTCATCAACAGAAAAACAGGAATGGGAAGCTATAATAGAAAATACAAAAGAAATAACTGAAAAATGGAGAGTTCCGTCGTGGATTAATAAGGAAATGCAAATAAAGATTGTGAAATGCATGGAGTCAATGTGGAAACTAACATATTATGCTGCAGTTGAAGCTTTTGTTCTTAAATATACCTTCAATGAACCCTGGTTTACGAATAGGAGAATGCTATTCGAAGATTGGCTTAATCATGAGTTGAAGAGTCCCGTGATGATTTACTACATGTGCCAATGTGGGTTTTACATATATATTATTGCGACTATTCTCCTTTTGGAGACTAGAAGGAAAGATTTTGCAGTGATGTTTACTCATCATATAATTATTGTAATACTGATTGGGACCTCATATCTAATAATTTTTTCAGGCTTGGCGCCATGACCCTAGCCCTTCATGATGGAAGTGATGTATTCATGGAAGCTTCCAAGGTATTCAAGTATTCTAACAGAGTACCCGTGATTGTGGAGAAAGCTGGAAGAAGTGACATTGCACACATTGGTAAAAAGAAGTACCTTGTTCCAGCTGACTTGTCTGTTGGTCAATTTGTTTATGTCGTCCGCAAAAGTAATTAAGCTCAGTGCAGAGAAGGCTATTTTTGTTTTCATTGACAACACTCTACCTCCAGCATCTGCTTTGATGTGTGCTCTTTATGAAGAACATAAGGATGAGGATGTGCTCTTTTTATGTATTATTTTATGCAAATCTGAAAGCAACGATGAGTAATAGTGAAATCGGAACTTCATCGTTGGTGTTCGATCTGGAACAATTTGAAGACCTTCCGTTTGATTTCGATGAAGAAGAGATATGTTAAAATATTGATGGTTTGTGATGGATACAAGGACAAATAGGGAATAATCGCGGGGGCGTATTTTTCCGGAGACCTTCGGAGAAAAAGGATGAAGAGGAATCCACCATTCAATTGGAGAGAGGATGAGAGGAGATGATTTGAAACAGAATTGGAGACGAGTCAATTGACAGTGCGGTTTTGTGTGATATAGAAGCGAGGAAGAAGTCTCTTTCTGAAGATGAATAGTCATAAAGTTTGTGAACCTTTTTCTCTCAAGCTAAAAACGCATTGTATCCTCACCATTTTCTTTATTCTCCCTTTCTATTTTGATCATAAAAAATGTGAACGCAATTGATGAAGGGTGCATAGTTCGGTGGAACGAATTCCTCTTGTCCTTGGCCCAAAGGGAAATTTTCAGTGGTCCCTTGTTGTGTATAAAAAAATGCTTAATGAACCTTGTTCCAGATGGGCCTAGCGCCTTGTTGCTACCCCACTCTCTGGACTCTGCACCCCCTTAATTCTTCTAATTTGTTATTTTGTTTCAGTTTACTTTTTGTTTAAATTTTCGTAATATAAAATATATAATATATGATAAAATAATTTAAAAAATGCAGATTTTAGGAATGCCTCTTGTTTTTTTTAGGGTAATAAACTACAAAATCAATACATTTTTGTTGGACTTTTATTTGGTTTTGGAAATTAATTCCTAATTTTTTGATTACTTGAGACTCATGATTCCCCTTTGCTTGTTGAGTTGAGTCTTATGCAGGTGCATTGCTTAATGTGCGAACATGTTTGAGTTTTCGATTGTGATTTATTTTCACATTGATGATGCTTCGACACCTATTCCAAATATTCGATCTCTAACTGTTTGTTTGTTGATGCCAGCTCGCGTGAAGTATTCCAAATTTCTTTGCTTTGGTTGTGCTTTTTGCATACATTATTGTTCGTTTGGTATTATACTGCTTTCAATTTACATTTCTGCACTTTACTGCTTTCTAGATATCATGAGAAGTAGGAAATAAAGTGCGAGCACTCAAAGTCGCTATTTAAAGACCTGTAGCAGGCATTCCGTACTTGATTTCTTATTGTGTTTATGCTTATTTTCATGGGTTGACGATCGATGATGTCACTCAATTAGAATTGAGATAACAACTTCGATCTTTTGCATGCTCCCTTTAGGATTTTTATTTTCCTTTGTTGATGATCAATGATGTCACTTGATTAGAATTGAGATAACAACTTCGATCTTTTGCATGCTCCCCTTAGGAATTTTAATTTCCTTTGTTGATAATCGATGATGTCACTCAATTAGAATTGAGATAACAACTTCAATCTTTTGCATGCTCCCCTTAGGATTTTTATTTTCCTTTGTTGATGATCGATGATGTCACTCAATTAGAATTCAGATAACGACTTTGATCTTTGCATGTTCCCTTAGGGTTACTCGATTAGGATATATTTTAAGTTAGAGATTAAGATAGTTATCCCATGCGTGCTAACATAGGATAGAGATTTCCCTTTTCATCCTTGACATAGGGCCATTGTTGTATGATAACACTAGGTTAGAGATAGGTTAGTCTCCCTTAGATGTTTTCTTCCCATTTTTTCATAATTGCATTTAAAACTAAAAGTTCTTTTTCTTGGAAAATGTATAAAACATGCTAAGCATACAAAAATTCTTTTCATGGTAAAATACACCAACCAATCCATTTATTTTCTCCATTCGGCTTTTCTCTTCTAAGAACGTGTTGATTCCTTTCCACTACAGTGTGTGAGTCTCCAATGGTCGGGCAGTGGTGGAATGATTGAGTTTATCATTGTTCGTTTAAAAAATACAAACAAACACAAATTTGTGAGCCGAACTACGGCTGCTCTGATTCCTTAAAATGGATATGGAGGCATTGGGGTAGGGCCCGAACGAGCACAACTTTTATTTTCCTTACGTTATATTTTGTTTTCTTTGCATGCATTCCATCTTAGTTTTTATAGCTCTTAAGAATTATATTAAACACACCCTTTGATTAGAATAACTAGAGTGGATCCCATAGAGTATTACGGACGTGAGAGATGCTAATACCTTCCCCCCGCGTAATCAACTCCCTTACTCAATCTCTCGTTCACAAGACCTTGATTTTTTTTCCTTCAGGTTTTTCTTCGACGATTTTCCTTTCCCTTTTTGTGTGGGATAAATAAACACTCGGTTGCGACTTCATTGATTTTACCGCTACAATATGCAGTTAGAGCAAACATGTATCTGAACATGGTCAGATCTTACCCATTCCTTCTTAAAACAGTACAAGTACAACTTGGATATGGCTCCTAATTGTATGCAACTTCAGAATTTGTCACAAAAGAAAGATGAATCTTTTAAGGAGTATGCTCAATGATGGAGAGAAATGGCAGCACGCGTGCAACCACCACTCCTCGAAAGAGAACTGGCAGACATGTTCAATAGTACTTTACAAGGGTTATATTATGAGAAGTTGGTAGGCATCGTCTCTTCTGAATTCTCCGACTTAATGATAATTGGGGAAAAAATTGAAGCTGGTTTGAAGAGCGGCAAGATACAAGGGGTATCTAGTACTTCTTATAACCCAAAGAAGCATATCCCTAACTTCTCGAAAAAGAAGGAAGGAGAAACTAATGTGGTCGCATCGCACCATAAAGCACAACAACTATTGGTGATCCCACGAGAACAATAGCAAAACAAGTTTGAAAGAACTTTGAGAAGATTTGTTCCTCTCCTCATGCCACATAGTCAACTTCTACAACACCTGCTCAAATCATCTCTGGTAGAGCTAAACCCACTAGCTCCTCCGATTGGGTCACTCCCACCAAAGTATGATGCAAATGTAAGGTATGAATATCATGCTAATTCTCCTGGGCGTACTATAGAGAAATGTTGAGCTTTCATACACAAGGTTCAAGATTTCATAGACTCTCAAGATATCACTTTTGATAAACCTAATATTAAGACAAACCATATGCCTCAGTATGGTGGTCCAACTGTGAATGCAATTGAGATAGTCACCACAATAGAGATTCTTGTTCCCTTTCAGTCGTTACTTTTGAATAGCCATAAGTGATTTGTAACGCTTCAGAACATGCTTTGCTTCAGAAGATGAATGTTACCGTTACTTCTTTCCAGAACTGTATGAATCAGAATAACAGAGATTCTATTCGCAACGTTTAGGTACTCAGAAGTTGCAGCCTTAGAGCTTCTTTATAAAAGATGTATTGAATCAGAGTTTGAACAACTATCTAGCTCATCTTCTGTGCTTCTTCCATCATAACTTCTCTGCAAAACAAAATATTTATTTAGGCAGCATAATTGTTCTTTGAGTGTTTGTTATCATCAAAAATCTTACAAGAGTTGTAGAATCAAACTATGTTCTAACACTCGCACCCTTCAGTTGGAGAGCAATTTAATAATGGTAGTTGTCATAACCTAAATTTTCCTGCATTGGTGTTAATAGTCAATTCATTTTATTTAGGAATTTTCCTACTATTTTTTTGTGTGTTACTATATTTGTCTAAAATTATATTCTAATACTAACTTGTATTTATATTATATTGGTTGTTACTTTAAAATTGTTGGCATTTTTTCCTAAATGGGGGTTCATCATTATAACTAAATGGCACATTAAAAGTTTATTAAAGGGCCCATGTTGAGTTTTGGTTTTAAATAAAATTGTTTTATTAATTATTATCTTTATATTTGGTTGACCAAAGTCAACATTTTGTTAATTATTTTTGTTTGTAGTTTATAATTTCTTAGTTTTATTATTATTGCATATATATATATATATATATATATATATATATATATATATATATATATATATATATATATATATATATATATATATATATATATATATATATATATATATATATATATATATATATATTGTTTATTTTGATTAGGTTGGCCTATGGTCAACACTCGCTATTGGGGTTATCTATTATTATCATTCACATTATTATTACTTTATTATTATTATTATTATTTTAATTTATTTAAGGAAGTTGACTAGGTCAACTAGGGTTTTACCCTTGTGCAAGTTGCGCCCATCTCAATTTTCTTCAGCCCTAAGACAAACACAAAAGTCCAGAAATCATAATTTTGTAACAAATCAAATCAAATCTTTGATCGAAACTTGATTTTATTATTTGAAACGAATTTATATACAGAAGAGCGTCCAAGTACATTACAATACACAACACTAATTTTATTTCCTATTTGAATCTATATTAATTTACAAATCAAATCTCCTAATTCAATCAATTTAATCCCTAACTGAATCAATTACAAGAAATTCACAATTTGTAACAGCAAATCCCTTAAAACTATTTCCTAACCAGACTAATTTCTAAACCTATAAATACCCTAAGTGTAAACCTGAGAAGGGGCCGAAACATGGACATTGGAGAAAAAGAAATTGGAGTTCCGGTTTCCTTACTACGAGTTCTTCAAGATCTTGTACCTACAAATAAAGAGAAGAGGGCTTAGAGGAATCTAGAGGGAACTTATACAAGAAGTATCAATGCAAGGACAGTCATCCTAAAACTTAGCTTAAGGGTTCTTGATTATTGTTGTCAATTGATGCTTGCATATGCCTGAATTGAGGTTTAAGACATTGATTTCTGGAAAATTTGGGAATTTTTGGGTTTTTAGGGTTAGGGTTCAAAGATTTTGGGCTAGGGTTCTTGGGGTTGGGGTTTGGATTGTTAGGGTTCATCAGGGTTTGTTAGAATTTATCATTTTTTGGGTTGCATGATGGTGTTCCAGGCGGACACTCATCATGGACGACGGCCTCAACGGACGCCCATATGGGTTCTACCTAGGGTTTTTGGGGTTAGGGTATAGATGCATAGGGTTCTATGGGATTGATGGGTTTCTGGATTCGGTTGTTTGAAGGAATGAAGATCCTGGTTGAAGATCAACTAGAGATTTGGGTTTAATGGTAGTGTTTAGGGTGGTGCAAGGCTGGTCCCCCGGTGGAAGTGATTTTCGGTCGGTAGAGATGATTTCTAATGGTGGGAGTTCTAGAGAGAAGCCAAAGTTTCTCTCTCTCTTGGTTTGAGAGAGTGAGAAAGAGACCAAATGTATATAGAAATGGGGAAAAGAGAAAAATGAAAGATTATGAAGGGATTACGTTTATGTACTCCCTCTGTCGTTTCCTGATGCGCATCACGTGGCTGCCTGTTAGCCATGGGATGAGGAGACCATTGATTGGTCTCCAT